TTATGCCAGGTAAGACCAACCTGAGCCTGAGAAGGAGCCACAGTTTACCAATGTACATCGCCGAAGAGCTGCAGTAATTTGTCAGTTGTCCCCATCAATTTGTCAGTCTCCTCTGCTTCCATCCCCACCCCTCCTGCCCTCGGCAAGCAGCTGTTTCATGGCACTCAGGAGGCCCGGTGGGGGAGGGAAGGAATGAGGACAGTACACTTGGAGGAGGAGGTGGAGCCAGGAGTTGAGCACTGGAAAGTTGACACCTGTAGCTGCAGCCCCAGAGTCGGCGCCTGAATAAGGAGCCGCATAATAACTTCAGAAGAGCCACAGGTAGGCCACCCCTGGCTTATGCCCAAATCATAGAATCATAGAACTGGAAGAGCCCTCAGAAGGTCAAGTCCAGCCCCCTGCTCTAGGCAGGACCAATCCAACTAAATCAACCCGGCCAGGGCTTTGTCAAGCCGAGACTTAAACACCTCTAGGGATGGAGACTCCACTACTTCCCTAGGGAACCCATCCCAGCGCTTCCCCACCCTCCTAGTGAAATAGTTTTTCCTAATATCCAACCTGGACCTCTCCCACCACAACTTGAGACCATTGCTCCTTGTTCTGCATCCGTCACTACTGAGAACAGCCTCTCTCCAGCCTCTTTGGAACCTCCCTTCAGGAAGTTGAAGGCTGCTCTCAAATCCCCCCTCACTCTTCTCTTCTGCAGACTAAACAGACCCAACTCCCTCAGCCTCTCCTCATAGGTCATATGCTCCAGCCCCCTAATCATTTTGGTTGCCCTCCACTGGACCCTCTCCAACGCGTCCACATCCTTTTTGTAGTGGGGGGCCCAGAACTGGACACAATACTCCAGATGCGGCCTCACCAAAGCCGAATAAAGGGGAATAATGACTTCTCTGGATCTGCTGGCAATGCTCCTCTTAATGCAACCTAATATGCCATTAGCCTTCTTGGCTACAAGGGCACACTGTTGACTCACATCTAGCTTCTCATCCACTGTAACCCCCAGGTCATGTTAGTAAAGCTGTTAGTCTGTAAAGTGCCCCAGGAGTCTTTGGAGTTCTTCGGGAAGGGTTCTAGCAGAAAAATAATTTATTTGCGGCAATTCTGGGATGACTCGGCTGTTCCAAACGCTCCAGAGGGGATGCCGAGTGAGTCTGTCACTGGAAAAACTTAAAAAAACAACGAATTGTCTTGCAGCACCTCAGGGTGTGTCTAAACTACATGCCTCCGTCGACGGAGACATGTAGATTAGCCAGATCGGCAGAGGGAAATGAAGCTGCGATTAAAATAATCGCGGCTTCATTTCCCTCTGCCGATCTGGCTAATCTACATGCCTCCGTCGACGGAGACATGTAGATTAGCCAGATCGGCAGAGGGAAATGAAGCTGCGATTAAAATAATCGCGGCTTCATTTCCCTCTGCCGATCTGGCTAATCTACATGCCTCCGTCGACGGAGACATGTAGATTAGCCAGATCGGCAGAGGGAAATGAAGCTGCGATTAAAATAATCGCGGCTTCATTTCCCTCTGCCGATCTGGCTAATCTACATGCCTCCGTCGACGGAGACATGTAGATTAGCCAGATCGGCAGAGGGAAATGAAGCTGCGATTAAAATAATCGCGGCTTCATTTCCCTCTGCCGATCTGGCTAATCTACATGCCTCCGTCGATGGAGGCATGTAGTTTAGACGTACCCTCAAAGACTAACAAAACATGTCGATGGTACCATGAGCTTTCGGAGACTATACCCCTGTGTGCACACTCTATTCCGAACTAAACTGAGAAACAGGGAGGCGGCAAACCTGGCAGCGGATAGAAAACTACTCAAGAGCAGTAAGCCCACTGCAGACTGCAAAGAGTTACAAAGGGTTCTCACCAGATTGTGGGACTGGACAACCACGTAGCTGATGCACTTCCGTGTTGATCCATGCAAAGTAAAGCACATTGGAAAACAGGCTCCCAACTCTCCATTCACACTGGGGGGGTGTAAAGTAACTGTTGCCACTGGAGACAGAGATTTTGGATGGAGTCATTGCGATCGGTCCATTCCGTGTGGAGCGGCCGGCGAAAACGCAAACAGAATGTTGGAAATCGTTTTAGAGGGACAGAGCAACAGACAAAAATACCAGACTGCCTTGCTGCACCCATGAGACGCCCGCATCTTGAACATGACACCCAGGTGTGGCTGCCTCATCTCGAAAAACATAGACTGGAACTGGGAAACGTACAGAAAAGGGCAAGAAAAATGATGAGGGGTATGGAACAGCACCCGTAAGAGTAGGCCTGCACAACATGCGGCCCGCAGGGGCTCACTGTGCGGCCTGTGACGACTACAGGCGGCGTGGTCCTATCCAGTCCGCCATCCGGGTGGAGGAGCGGAGCGCTGCCGGGGAGGGGGAAGTGCGGTGATTTTCACCGCCGAGCTGCCTGCATGCGGCTCCGGCGCGAGGAGGCGGGGCGCGAGCCAGAGGGCAGGATGCCAGCAGACGCCAGGATGCTGGTGTGATGTGACGTCGTGATGTCACGGCCAGCGATCGCCGGATTCAAAAAGGCTCCGGCAGCCCCGCAAACTGGAAGGCAGAAGCCAAGTAGGGGAGGGGAGGGGGGCAGGTCAGGAAAAAGGAGAAGGCACCAAGGGTCAGGGTGCAGGACAGACAAATGCTAGGGGGCCAAGTGGAGACAATGAGGAAAAGGACAGGAGGGGAGATGTCAGTGGGACGGGGGACAGGGTGATGCTGGGAGAGGAGAGGGGAAGGGCATTGGGAGCCATATGTTGTGCAAGCCTAATTTAATTGAAAAAAATCTTAATAAAGTATCACCCCCCCCCCAAAAAAAAACCCTACCCTTGTGGCCCGTGGCTGTTTTCTTTGCAGTAATATAGCCCTTGCCGCTTTCCAAGTTGTGCAGGCCTGCATGAGAGGAAAGATTAACAAGAGCGGGACTTTCCGGCTAGAAGACACGTCCAAACGGGGAGAGGATAGAGGCCTAAAATCCTAGCTGATGTGGCGAAAGTAAAGAAAGAAGTGTTATTTACTCCTTCTCCCAACACAAGCACTAAGGGGGCCCCATGAAGTTAAAAGACAGCAGGTTGAAAACAAACAAGAAGAAATATTGCTTCCCCCAACGCACAAGCAGAGGATATTGGGAAGGCGAAGACTACAACATGGTTCAAAAAAGAGCTAGATATATTCATGGAGGTTCGGTGCTTCAATGGCTATTGGCTGAGCGTGGCAGAGTTGATGTTCCTAGCCTCTGTTTGCCAAAAGTTGGGAATTGGGGACACACGATGGATCATTTGAGGATTCCCTGTCTTGTTCATTCCCTCTGGGGCTCCTGGCATTGGCCATTGCTAGAAGACCGGATACGTAGAATGACCCAGTATTGGCCATTCTTATGACTTTCTTCCAGATTATTTACTCTGCCTTTGAGTTATGCTGGAATACCTATGGGTATGTCTACATTGGCATGATTTTCTGGAAATGCTTTTAACGGCAAAGTGTTCCGTTAAAAGCATTTCCGGAAAAGCGCGTCTAGATTGGCAGGACGCTTTTCCGGAAAAGCTCTTTTTGCGGAAAAGCATCCATGGCCAATCTAGACGCACTTTTCCGCAAAAAAGCCCCGATCGTTATTTTCGTGATCGGGGCTTTTTTGCAGAAAACACTACTGTGCTGTCTTCACTGGCCCTTTTCCGGAACAGTTTTCCGGAAAAAGACTTTTGCCCGAACGGGAGCAGTATAGTTTTTCCGGAAAAGCACTGATGATTTTACATTAGATCGTCAGTGCTTTTCCGGAAATTCAAGCGGCCAGTGTAGACAGCTGGCAAGTTTTCCGGAAAAGCGGCTGATTTTCCGGAATAACTTGCCAGTGTAGACACAGCCATGGTGAAGTAACGCTTTGCTATAGATATGCCGGTCAATTTCCCTTACTTTTGTCAATTACTTTTTTAATGGCCCTTCTGTTAACATCTCTCTCAATCTTTGCAACTGAGTAGGGCAATTTTTAGCAGATAAGCGCACGTGGGTTGGCTTTTTTTGGAGGGCGGGGGGGAACAGAAGAGTGTTTATGGGCTGGAGCAGCTAAAGCTCCCTTGAAACATTTTAAAATGTCTTTAAAAACGCTTTTAACTAATGTTGTTCTGACTCGGCTTGAAGGTTAAATGCGGGGGAGCTACAACGAAGTTGCATTTGCAACTTCTGTGGATGTGTTTTGTGACACCTCCGTAAGCCAGGGTGGCTCAGCGCGACCATCCCCATCACATGGACCCTGTATGGGTATAAAATATGTATCCACTTCTGCCCCATGAACATGGTCTGCAGCTAACTAGTGGCATTTTGCAGGCCTGTAGGATAAGTCTGTTACAACCCTTGCTAAGAGCGGCATGGCTTTTAGCTCATGCAATAGGAGGCTCCCACAGTAAGGTCCCAGGGTCCTAGGTTTGATCCTGACCTCTGACAGCAATGCACAAGGACAGTGGTCATCAACCGGCAGAAGACCAGGGACCAAATCCAGAGCACAAGATCCTTTCGAATGGCCCCAAAACTCTTTTAGTATTATCATTGTTCTCCGTATTCTTTTCTCTGGAGTCTGGATCTTGACTAGGCCTCCACCATGAAGTCTTGAGCTTGGCCAAAAGTCATGGCCTGCCCCTGCGCTAGGACACGAGTTTCGGGCGCAGAACGGAGGGGAACATGGACTTTGGATTTCTAGAAGAGGGGAGAGTCTGATTACCACTAGACTTCCGACCGCTGAGCCTTGAGAATTAGCCCGTCAAACTCCGGCGCGGAGGGTTTTGGTGTCTGGCCCTTTAAATCCCAGACTCCACCTCTTTGCACTGAATGGGCACAGTGCTGCCTGCTGGCACATGCTGCCTACTGCAGGCCAAGCCTATTAAAGGAGCTAGGGTGGAGGGGCTGTTTGCAGAGGAGGGGGCTGCTCCGAGGAGCACCATGCTTCCCAGGCCACCTTGTCCGCCAGCCACGCTCGCACATGACTTCAACATGTGGCGGGACTACCTGAACCTGTCCAAGGTGCTTGGGGAAATCATTGAGGAACACAGAAGGGGATCCAGGCGTCTGCTCCCCTGCGAGACCCCAGACTTCTGCCTCCCTGTGGATCCTCTTCACATGACCCTGGAGGACACTTTGGTCCTGAAACCATCGGGTTGGAGCAGGAGCAACAGTAGCAGCGCTCCGACGCCCGGCAGACTCATATGCAACTTCTGCCGGCACAACGGGGAGTCCAAGAAGGTCTACTCCTCCCACCCGCTGAAGCAAGCCGACGGCACCGTGCTGTGTCCCATACTGCGCAACTACGTCTGCCCGGTGTGCGGGGCCACGGGCGACAGGGCCCATACGCTGAAATACTGCCCGCAGAATCAAGAGAAGCAGTCCCTCTACTGCAAACGCGGGCGCAACTCGGCCGGCTTCGTCGTGCGCCGGTGAACGGCAGGGGAAGACACCTTCCCCGCCCTGGGACAAAAACACGGGACCTTTCCCCAGGGAGGCGCCCGAAGGTGCTTGGAACGGAAATTTTCGGTTTCTGCTGTTTGTTTCGGAGTTTGCATTTCAAGTCCAGGGTGGAACTAACGTGTCCAGAGTCACCCTCATTTCTTTAAATCCCCACGGCAGCCGGGGGGTTGTATCCTGGCCCCGCGGCGAGTTGGATGGACGGCTGCGAGACATTTGCCTCCGCTACATGTGTTTTGTTTTCACCTCCTTTGCCCAAGCCAATTGGTATTTATTTGTTTCCACTCCGCAGGAATCGTTTGCAGGCGTTTGCTGCGAGTTTTATTTGAAAATCATGGCAGAAAAGGACTGAATGCGAAAACGGGCCTCTCCGTAGCGTTTTACCGCGTTTTGTAGTTGCAACTACCCATGGTGGGGGGGAGGCGTGGTTCTCTCTCTGTTACATTTGAGGGTTTGTTTAGCAGAGTTTTTTTTTTTTTAAATGCAACACTCCCATAGCCCCTTTCTCTTCTGTTTAATAAACAGTATTGTTGTTCTGGCAGCTGGTTGTGTGGGCTTGGTCGGCTTTTCCCCAGCGTTGCTCTGGGACAGCTCCCCTTTTCGGGCAGGCAAGAGAAGTTGCTCCCTTTGTCTCCCCCACTTGCAAGAGGAAGGAGCACCGGGCCGGGATTGAACCTGTGATGCAAGGGATGGAAGCCGCGTGGCTCTAGCACATGAGCCAAAAGCTGCCTGGAAGAGACTCTAGAGCAGGCCTCGTGCTCCCTTTCTCACTGGTCTCGGTGCCTCTGGGTTACACGCGGCCAGACACGCACGGCGCCCTGGAGGTAGAGTGCACCCTGCCATGTGCGGGCCACCGGGCCTCCTGCTTCCAGTGGGCACTGGCAACCCCACTCCCCACAGGAAACGGCAGGCAGGCAGGTCCAAGGGGCCAGCTGAGGGCGCGCTGTAGGAGGCAGCCGGGGTCCTGGTGGGGCCGTGCCTCCCTGCTGTCCCCTCTCGCTGGACGCCGGGCAGCCCGTGTGCAGTCCTGGCGGAGGCTGCTGCCGGCAGCCCATGGGGATCAGAGGCAGGCTGTGGGGGGGGGGAGAAGGGTAGTTCTCACGCCACCTGCTGCCCAATAGCAGTGCCCCCACACAGCCGGCTCACAGCTCCCTTGCAGCAAACAGGAGCAGCAGGGCCGGGACCCATCCACCAGGCAGATAAAGGAACCCAGACACTCCCC